GCCTTTTTTGTACCCCCCAACTCCCCTCCCATCTAGTAGTCTCAAAATATTCTCTTTATCTATGAGTTTATTTCCACTTTTGTTGTTGTCATTCTTTCGATTCCACGTGTATGTGAAATCATGTGGCATTTGTCTTTCCCGACTCGACTCTTTTCATTCAGCGCAATGCCCTCTAGGTTCATCAAGGCAATATCTTTTTCCATCCCTTTTCTTTTAGTCCGTGTGCATCTTTTAATCTGAAGTGAGTCTCTTGTAGGCAGCATGTGTCGGGATCTTGTTTTCTTATCCATTCAGCCACCCTATCTTTTGGCTGGAGCACTTAATTCTTTTCTGTTTTTTTGAAGTACTTGATGATAGGAATGTAGTTCTTGCCATTCTTTATTCATGTTTTTGATACATTTTTTTTCTCCTTAAAGAAGTCCCTCCAACATTTCCTGTAATACTGGCTTAGTGTCGATGAATTCCTTTAGCTTATTTTTGTCTGGGAAATTCTTTATCTGTCCTTCAGCTCTAGCTTTGCTGGATAAAGTATTATTGGTTGTAGTATTCTACCTCAAGTAGTCTGGGTTTTCATCATGTTGAATATTTTGTGCCAAGCCCTTCTGTCCTGCATAGTTTCTTGTGAGAAATCAGCTGCCAGTCTTATGAGTGTTCCTTTCTAAGTAATTAACTGCTTTTCTCTTTCTGCTTTTAAGATTCTCTCTTTGTATTTAACCTTTGGCATTATAATTACAATGTATTTTGATGTGGGCCTCTTTGGATTCCTCTCTCTTGGGACTCTTTGAGCTTCCTAGGTTGTATGTCTATTACCTTCATCAGGTGAGGAAAGTTTTCCATCATTATTTCTGCAAATAGCTCTTCAACGTCTTTTTGTCCTTCAGATACCCCAATGGCACAGATATTTTTACATTTTATAGTATCCTATAGGCTCTTTAAATTATTATTATGTCTTGTCCTCTTTTTTCTTGCCATTCTGATCGAGTGTCCTTGGTTTCCCATCCTCCATATTGGTGGTTCCATCTTCTTCTTTATCTGCTCTGTTTAGTGCATCTAATTTACTCTTCATCTCAGTCAAAGTGTTCTTCATTTCTGACAGGTTCCCTTTTATAATTTCCATTTCTATTTTTATGTTTCTTATCTCTTTGTTAAAGTTCTCACTGAGTTCATCTACACTTTTCCTAAGTTCTATTAGCATCTTTATAACCAGTGCTTTAAACTCTGTATCTGTTAGATTGCTTGACTCTATTACTTCTAGATCTATGTTCTGTTCTCTCATATGTTTCTGCTTCTTTGTCTTCCCATTTTGGCTGCCCGTCTATGTCCCTTTCTACGTACTAAGGAAATCTCCTAAGTCTCCTGGTCTTATTAGTGCAGCTTTGTGTAGTAGGTGTCCAGTGGTGCAGTCCTGAGAGGGATTCAGCTGTGGGCCAAGTTTAGCCCCAACCTGTGCCCCTCCGGTGCCACCTGTTAAGAGTCAGCAAGCAATCCACAGATTGTTGCCTCAAGAAGCCACACAAGAAACCGAGACCAGCTGCCACCAGTGTGAATCTTGGCGCTGCTCAGCAAGGAGCACCTGACTCTCCGAGGATACAACTAGATGTGTCGAGTGTGGCTGTGAGTTGGGCGAGGAGGAGTTTCAGGGCATGTCCTAGGCTGAACAACCTCTGTTATCCAGGTTGATTACACCTCAGCTATGGTGGCTGCTGCCTCTGCAAACTGGGAGTGGGGAGGGCTCAACAGAGGAACAATAGATACCGCCAGCACTACTGTTTAAGAGAGATCCTTGCCTCTGGTCCTCAGTCCGACAACTCAGTATCTCTTTGTAAGTCCTGGTGCCCCACAGCCCCGCGAAGCCAGATGAGCACTGGTGCTTAGAATGAGCAGTTCCATCACCACAAAAGTTCACTCGCAGACATGCCCTTTTAAGAGGAGTCTGCAGCTGCGGAATGCCGCAGCCTCTGTCCCATTCAGCCACTCAGGACCAGGAAGCTTCCCGTCTTTGCCTCCTCCTATCTTCTACCCTTGCAGGTTGGTTAATTATTTATCTCCCTGGTCCTAGTGCTTCTGTTCATGTAGATCCCAGGTGCCTTTCCTTGCTCTTTGCTCCTTGTTTCTGTCACGACTTTGATTTGGTCAAAGGAGGATGAACAAAGCCTCTATCATCTATGCCATTTTTTCCCAATCTAATGAGATATTAATAATTTTAAAGTAAGATGTAATGATTGTGTTTCATCTTTTAGATTTATTTTAAATACTAATTGTATATTATATTGATGACTATAATACAGGTTATTAACTGCATTTCATATATGAGAACTGTATATTAATATAATATTCATCACATTAATTGAGAGAACTGTTGAAATCTTCTAGAAAGCAAAATGGAAATGAAGGGATGGCATTGGTTGGTATAATCTATTTCACTCTCCTAATTAAAAGTAACAATAGATGCTGATATAGATGATGAAATTATCATGAGCTAAGATTTAGAAATCACTTCTGATGGGCAATCAGTGTTCTAAGTATTTTTCATGTATCCATCAAAACATCTTCCCAACAAGCTTCTGAAGTAGAAACTAGTAAATTGCAGGTTTTACAGATGAGGAACCTGAGGCACAGAGACGACTGACATGGCCAAGATCACACAGCTGTTTGCTGGTAGAGCTGAGATCAAACCCAGACAGTCTGGTGTTCGCAACATACTCCTATGCTGATAAAATTAATGCTCACCTATGTCAGATGAGGCCTGGCCAGCTGGCCTTCCTAGGTAGCTTAGCATAAAAGTCAGTAACCTTTTCTGAAAAGGGTCAAAGACTAAATCTTTTCAGCTTTGTAGGCCATATGGTCTCCGTTGCAAACCTTCACCTCTGTCCTTGCAGCACAAAAGCAGCCAAAGACAACATGTAAGAGAATGAGTGTGACTGTGGTCCAGTGAAACACATTTCCCAAATCAGGTGGCAAGCCAAGTGGGCCCACAGTTTACCAAGTTGGCTGCAGTTCACCAACACTGCCTTAGTAGCTTTCTCTTTTGGTGCATCCATCTAACCCTCTCCGTGGTCCTCACACCTCCCTCCTCACTCACAATTCCCCTCACTTGGGATCAAGTTCCAATTCCATCATTTCTACCCGTGTGTCCTTGAGTTACTGACTCTGCCTCTTTAAGCCTCAGATGCCTGACCTGTGATCATCTGAGTCCTTGTGTTGTCATGAGGGATAAATTGTGTAATGTACATGAGCCTTGCCTTAGCACTGCATCAGGTTACGATTAACATCTTCTTACGGTCTCTTTTTGCACGTCCCAAATTGTTCACCTTCTCGACACCTGCTCATTTGTCATATCTCAGCATAAATACAGTGAGTTCCCTCAGGGAACCCTTCTCAACTATCTAATCTCATGTACCCCAGACTGGGCTATGAATCCAGCCACAGGTTTCATAGCTCCAGATATTTGATCATAAAACTCTTTGTTGAATTGTTTCTATTGTCTAATTTCAGTCTATCTTAATCACAAGTGGGTATTCAGGCCAAGAACAAATCTTGACACAGAAAAGACAGTCAATATTTGTTTAATAAACCAGAAACTAATTTATCAGTTCTTCTGAGAACTTATATTTATTTCTCTAAGCATTTCTGGGGTGCAAGACTCAACAGAGCCTTTTGAAAAGAATTTATCTTTACTTTAAAACCATTTTATGAAGGTGCGATTTATGTGTAAAAAGTTGTACGTTTTTAACGTGTACAACCTGATGAGTTTGGGGATAAGCGTACACCCAAGAAACCATCACCACCATCGAAGGCATATAGAAAGTTTCAATTATGAAAGATAAATAAGTTCAGGAGTTGTACTATAGATCAGTGCCTATAGCTAACAATACTGTACTGCATATTTATATATGCACTGAAGGTAGATTTTAGCTTAAATGTTCTTACAAAAAAAAAAAGCAATAACAACATTAATAATAAAGGAGGAAGGAGGAAACTATGGTGAGGTATGTTTATTTATCGATCCTTTATCCACAAAGGTCAACATAGTCTTCGATCTCTTTCCATCTCTCTCTTAGATGCTGGCTCCACACACAAAAAGGATTTATATGGACCTTCCTTGGTCCCGCCTGCATCATCTTCTCTGTGAGTAATGGATGACATCAGCGCATCCTTCCTGCCCAGCTGAGGGCCAATCAAAGAGCAAGTGTATAAGGAGGATTACAGGCAAGGAGAGCAGTCATTCCACATTGCCCAAAATTAAGGGAGCTCCCAAGAGGCATCATGTCATTTTAAACCAGGACAGAGGGGTTTCCTGAGATGTCACTCTCCATGCTAAAACTTGGGAATTCCAATGCAAACTGGGACGAGTTGGTCACCCCAGTTACAGGATAAGAATGTGCCCAGGTTCCTGGATATTTGGTCTCGTTTTCTATGACTGCTGTGTAATAAGAAAGCTTCTTACCTGCTGGGTTAGGTGGTGGATAAGGCAGGTGGAAGTTTTATAGATATGGTATGCATTCAATATGCCTTGTGGGGATTTTGCAGATTAATTTGGCTTTCTTTCTGATGACCTTCTGGATTCTGAAAATCAAGCTCTCCTCACTCAACAGCGATGTGTCCACCCTCCAGAATACCAGGTGAGTTGGATCAGAGCGGCTCATGCCTCCATACAAAGCATAGTCCATGAACAAGACCATATGGTTCCAAGCTTCAGGTGTCCTTCCACAGGGGTGCTGAGGGGCTGGGGGAAAAGGTGCAGCCACCTTCCTTGGAAACCAGCTCAAATACTATGGTTTGCTGCTGACACCTAAGACAAAAACATTTCATCCATTCATAACTCCGGCAGAAAACTACCTCAGCTACCGACAGAACTGACTGTGTTTGGATAAACAGCGGTTACTTTTGTGGCTATATGAAAAAGTTCCAAGGGACATTTACATCTTTATAAACACTTAGTAAATCACATAAGTGTTCCCAGAACCCTGCATGTACTTTCCTTCCCACACCTTCATGGATGCTCTTTTCTCTGCCCCCAACACTCCTCCACCTGTTGAAATCAGGTTCCTTATCCACGTATCACATCTTCTAAGAGGCTAGGGATGTCCTTTGATTTCCTCAACTTAGTAAACCACGAATGGCCTCTATTTTGGGCAAAGCATGCTCTGGGTCAGTTTATGGAGACTGAGAAGATGGGAACAATACTGAATGGGACCCAGCAGAGGTATCTCACACTTCACAAATAGTGTAAGTGACTGTTTAGTCTTTCCACTGCACTGTAAGGTCTGTGATACAGAAATCTTGTCTTTGTTATTTTCAATGCCCAGGACCCAGCACAGAGTCTGGTACACAGAACATACTCAGAAATAACAGTTGAATTAAATTAGGAATATTTATGGAATTTCATGATTTTTTGAAACCCTCATTTTTAAGTGTCACTGCTGTCCTCAGTCCAAGTCATATGCCATTCTGGACACAAATAGCATTTCTTTGGAGAGAATAATTGAGAGCAAAGACTAAAGTTGATCATAACTCAGTTAGAGGCATCCATGGGCGGAGATGAAATGGCTTTGATTCTGTTGCTCTGGGTACACCATGGGCCTCCCTTCTCCTCCTACTCAGGATGCTGACATTTAAAGCGACAGCTCAGCTCTTCATCTTGGGCTGTACGTGGTGTCTGGGGATCCTGCAGGTGGGTCCAGCTGCCCACGCCATGGCCTACCTCTTCACCATCATCAACAGCCTACAGGGTGTCTTCATCTTCCTGGTGCACTGCCTCCTCAGCCAGCAGGTACCACTGTCTGACTCCTACCCACGACTCTTTCCATCCTCCCTCCTCTCATTGAGCTGACTCAGAGCATGCTTTACCTCTGCAGGTCCGTGAACAATACAGAAAATGGTTGAAAGGAGTCAAGAAAACCAAAGCTGAGTCTAAGAAGCACACCCTTTCCAGCATGGTTATGTCTGAAGTTTCTGATCCCAGCACGGTAAGATCACATATTGCTCATTGCCCTTAGAGAACTTCACTGACTGATCTCATTGAGTAGCTCATGCCAATCACACTGGATAGATAACCTGGGTATATAGCAGGGATACCCACTGTGTTTACTTCTGCACTAAATCTTGGCATTTCCCTGTCATGAAAGTAGGCATCACCTACTTTCACTTGCTGTGTTTCTATGTTCACCTTGATCCTTGCCCATTACTATCTTCTCATCATCTACATGCATTGAGCACCCACTTTGCACTAAATGGTACATGTGGTTTTCAATTTTACTTGGTGAGAAAATGGAAAACACTTCCTCATCGGTGAGGGTTTATGGTCAGCTCAACAAGCAGGAACTAATGATCTGAAGCAGTGATGTTCAAACTGCTCAGAGTCACAGCACCATCCTTCAACCTGTCATTCCATGCTACTCCTCTATGTAAAGAACAATTAATACATAATCTATATAGTCATAATACTTAAGTGAAATAAGTCTTAGGTTGGGTTGGAAACTTTCTTTGTAATTCTGCAATCATTCCTGGTATTATCAGCACATACTCACATGGGTAATCAGGAAGGATGATTATAGAGATCAAAGGAGAAATCTTGGTAGTACGATCCTAGCAAGCATTTGTATGTTCTGATTTACAAAATCTTTTTTTATATGTTTTGTTCACGTGTTCTTTACACCGGCACTTAGAGGTAGGTATTACTTTCCCTTTTGTAGATGAAGAAAGTGAGGCTCGTGGGATTTGTATGACCCATGTAATGACTTCTGCCTCTTCAACTTTACCCCAACTTCATGTGCCCACCATCCTGCCTCAAGAGCCTTCTGCATTTCTCTCATTCACAGGATTATTCACCCTCTACAACTGCTACTTCCCCAGCCCTCTACTTCTCAAAAGCCTCATCCTTCTAACTCTTTTCTCTTCCAGCAAATATTCCTACCATCTTCTTCCACTGAAAATCAAGCCAGCAGGATGAAATGAGTTCAACTTTGTGCTCTCAGACCACCAGGCATTTGGCACGTGTTTCCTTCTCTCCTCGTTCCGTCTTGTTACCACAGATAAAATGTGCTTCCTTCTTTTTAAGGCTAATTCTTCCATTACATTTTGGTTCCCAACTCTTGACTCTCCATAACTTTACATTAGTGCTCATGCGTTCTCTCTCTGGACCTTGCACAGTCTCACCTTCTCAACAGCATCCTTTCTATTTTCATTACAACATGCAGAGGGATGCCTCCAGCCTCATCCTTTTTTCTCAGGGTGTCTGTTGTGATTCAAGCTCTTTTGTGCTTCCACATTAATCTGATGATTTTTGTTCTATTTTTTTTTAAATGCCAATAGGATTTTGATGGGAATTGCATTAAATCTGTATAATGCTTTAGGTAATAAAGTAATTTTAACTATGTGGATCCTTCCAATCCATGAACACAGAATATCTTTTATTTTGGATTCTTGATTCTATTCTGGTTATCTATCTTAATGACTGTAGCTTCATAGAAGTTTTTAAATTGGTGAATTGACTAGACATTTGGTTTTTTTTTTCAAGATTGCTTTAGTTATTCTGAAGTTCTATATAAATTTTAAGATGTATTTGTCAATTTCTGATAAAAATTTAACTGAGAATTAGATAAGAATTGTGTTAAAGCTACAGATCATCTTGGAGGATACTGCCACCTGAACTAAATGAAGTCTTTTGATCCATAAACATGGATGTTTTCCATTTCTTTGGGTTCTTTGACTTTTTTAACAATGTCTTACTGTTTTCAGGGTACAAGTCTTGCACATTTTTAACACAGTATCATTTTTACACTTTTCTTCCTAGGATAAGTATTGATCTTGTCTCCTGGAAAATGAAGAAAATTCTGAATTGTCGTCCTTTGGGTGAAGAGTATAGAAAACACTTTTTCATGCTTGTTACAGACATCTTGGCACCATTGTGGGAGAAAATATGCAGGAAAAGTTTGACATTTAATTGCTGGACAATTAGGGTTCTCTGGTTTAAACAACATGCTCAGCTCACTCTCAGCACAGTAGAAGATCTATGACTCCATTCTTCAGTTGCCGTGGGTCAAGCCCTCTGCTTCAACCTCTTTTTCTACAAAGATGTTCCTCAATTTGAAGATATTTAACGAGGAAAATTCAAATGACTTTCTTAAAATAGCATAAGAAAGAGGATAATTTTCCTGTATCTGCATATAGGGTAAACAACTAATCCCAGTTGTCCAAGACTTTCCTGGTTTTAGTACAGAAAGTCTTACATCCAAGGGAACACTTTGGTTACAGGCAACTGGAACAGTTGGACACTCTACCTTCATGCCCCGATTTCTTCACTCTTCATTTCTAAAAACTTACTGATATATTCATTCAAAAATTATGTTTTTATTACTCATAATATGCTTCATTCAGATCACAACAGATTTAATTTCTGATTTCACAGAGCTTCCATGTGAAAAAAAATTCCCTCAGCGTAAAATCGAAACTGTATGAATAGAATCTCCGTGTCTTTACATTTTATAAAGTGAACTGTGGAAAAATGTGTATATTGCTACACCCATTTTGTAACATGCATTTATTTATACATAACATTATTTCATCTTCAGCATGTGATCTAGGCAAGATCTAAATCCAGAGCAGTTACACCTAAAAGAAATCCCCTGTGAGCCCCCACTGCCCAAATACGTATCAATCTAAACATGAAGAAAAATGACCAGAAATGATTATAACATAGTAAAGAAAAAATATTCATGAGTCCAGTGTGATATCTAAAATATCAGCCAATAAATGTAAATGATAAAATTAGATAATTATGATTTATTTCAATATCTCATAAATGGCCACTAAAAGTATTGGGGGGATGTTTGCTAGAGAACAGGCAAAGCCCACAGAGCTGAGGAATCAGTTCAGAGATTACTGTTAATTACAAGGGCAAATATGTACATTTGCAATGTGGAGATCTGATAGTTTCCATCAGAACTTAATGATCAGCTTTAACGTCATAGATAATGGGCAACCTGTGAAGTTACAACATCATATTTGTGGTAAATAAACAATTACTGACAAATCAGCATAATCTAAATCCAATCCAGTCTTGAGTCCAAGGGTTGGCAACAATAGCATGCAAGACAAATCCAGGCAGCTGCCTGCATTTGTGAATAAATTTCTATTGGAACACAACCACACCCCTTAATTGATGCATTCTCTATGTCTGCTTTCATGCTACAGTGTCAGTCGAGAGACTGTAAAACCACAAAGTCAAAAACATTTACTACCTAGTGCTTCATAGAAAAGGCTTTTCGTTACTTTTCTTTTCAGACCTAATTTTTAGTATACATGAAATACAGAAGACAGACGACCATGTCAAGTAACATTATGAGGAATCAAATAAATAAACCTAGAAAATGAAGCATTCAACAAACCAATTGACCTAGACTGATCTATGGTCAATATCATTTATTTCACATTTTAAATTTTAATTTATTATGGTAACATTGGTTACTAACATTATATAAGGTTCAAGTATACAATTCTATAATATATTATCTATATATTGCATTGTGTGCTCACCCCCCAAAGTCAGGTCTCCTTTTGTCACTATATATTTGACCCCCCTTTATCCTCTACAAACTCCCCCACCCACCTCCCCTCTGTTATCCATCATAATATTTTCTGTGTCTATGAGTTTGTTTCTTTTGTTTGTTTATTTGTTGCTTTCTGTTTTATATACCACATATGAGTGAAATCACATTGTTCTTGTCTTTTTTCATCTGACTTATTTCACTTAGCACGATACTCTCAAGATCTATCCACGTTGTCTGCCGCAAATGGCAGTATTTTATCTTTTCTTATGACTGAGTAGTATTTATATGTACCACATCTTCTTTATTCCATCATTCATGGAAAGACATTTAGGTTGTTTCCATGTTATGGCTACTGTGACTAATGCTGCAATGAACATAGGGGTACATATATCTTTACGAATAAAAGTTTTCAAATCTAGGAGTTTGATAACCAGAAGAATGATTGCTGGGTCATGTGTTAGCTCTATTTTTACATTTTTGAGGAAGCTCCATGCTGTCTTCCATAATGTCTTTCCATAACAAACAAAACAATAATATATTAGGATTTCTTTTTCTTCACATTCTCTCAAATACTTGTTATTTTTGTCTGATTGATAATGCACATTCTAACAGGTGTGAAGTGGTATCTCATTGTGGGGTGTTTGGGCTTGTTTTTTATATAAATTTATTGGGGTGATGTTGGTTAATAAAATTATATAGGTTTCAAGTGTACAATTCAATAATATCACATGTGTATTGCATTGTGTTCACCTCCCAAATTAAATTTCCTTCCATCGCCATATATTTGAGCCCCTTTACCCTTATCTACTTCCCCCTACACCCTTTTCCCTCTGGTAACCACTAAACTGTTGTCTGTGTCTATGAGTCTTGGTCATTTAGAATCAAAGGACACATACCGAGCTTTCTACACAAGAAAAAAACCAAAGAAGTTCATCACCACCGAATCAGTATTGCAAGAAATGTTAAGAAGTCTTCTTTAAGAAAAAGATCAAAAATATAAATAATAAAATGGCAATAACTACATATCTATCAACAATTACTTTAACTATAAATGGACTAAATGTTCCAATCAAAAGACAGAGTGGCTGATGGATAAGAAAAAAACAAGATCCTTACATATGCTGCCAATAAGAGACCCATTTCAGATCAAAAGACATACACAGACTAAGAGTAAAGGGATGGATAAAATATTTCATTAAAATGGAAACAAAAATAAAGCTGAGGTAGCAAGCTTTACACCAGACAAAATAGAGTTTAAATAAAGGCTATAAGAAGAGACAAAGAAGGACCCAGTAATATCACTTCTGGGTGCTTATACAAAAAAACCCAAAACACTACTTTGAAGGGACATGTGCATCCATATGTTCATTGCAGCATTATTTACAATAGCCAAGATATGAAGGCAGCCTGGTTGTCATTCAATGGACGAATAGATAAAGAAATCAATCTTGTCATTTGTGACAACATGCATGGACCTAGCGGATATTGTGCTAAGTCGAGTAAGTCAGGCTGAGAAAGACAAATGTCATGTGATTTTACTTATGTGGAATCTAGAGAACAGAGTTAACAAACAAAACAAAAATAAGCTCATAGAGCATTTTGATGGTTGCCAGATGGGGTGGTTTGGGGATAGGTGAAGGGGGAGGAAATTAAGAGATGCAAATGGGTAGTTATAAAATAGTCATGGGAATGTAGAGTACAGCATAGGTAATATAGTCAGTAGTATTGTAATAACTATGTATAGTGTCAGATGGGTACTGGATTTGCTGGGGTGATCACTTCATAAGTCATAATAATGTCTAATACTGTTTTGTACACCTGAAACCAATATAATAATGTATTTCAACTACAATTGAAAAGTAAAAAAATATTAAACAAAAAAAAATGGCTCTGATATACTTGCTTAATTCACGGTTTCCACAAAATTTCAATTTGTAAAAATTCATTATGTGCAAAGCACAACAAGTAAAGTTTATTAAATGAGAGTATGTTTGTATCAATAGCAACAACTAGGCTGTCATTGTAGCATGAAAACAGCTATAGACACTCATATATAAATTATCATGTCTGTGTTTTAATAAAACTTTATTTATGGACACTGAATTTGAATTTTATGGCATGTTCACATGATATAAGATGTCTTTCTTCTGCTGATTTTTTTCACTCATTAAAGATGTAAAATCTTGTCTTAGCCTGTGGGCAGTCCAAAACAGGTGGTGAGCCAGTTTTGGCCCATGGGCCACAGTTTGCTGATCTCTGCCCTAGGATGTTCAAGAGAGCTCTTTATCCTACACTAATGTATTTATTAGCTATTCAAATATTTTATGAGCACTTACTCTTTTGAAAAGTATAGTGCCTAACTGAAAGGAACTAAAATTAACAATTCAGACAGATCCCCATGTCCAGGAATCTTGAAGACCTGTGTATTAGTCAGCTCAGGCTGCCCTAACAAAATATCATAGACTGGATGTATTAAATAACAGAAGTTGATTTTCTCACAGTTCTGGGGGCCAAGAAGTTCAAGATCAAGTTTTGATGAAGTCAATTTTCTGATTTTAGATCTTCCTAGTGCGCAGAAGTCCACCTTTCCTCTGTGTGCTTGCATGGCCTTTTCTCCATGCTCGAGCATGAAGAGGGAGAGAAAAAAAGCTGTTCTGTGTCTCTTCTTGTAAAGGCACTAATCCCGTCATGAGAGGCTCACCCTTATTTAACCCTAATTATCTCCCAAAGGCCCAATTGCAAATACCATCACACTGGGAGTTAGGGCTTCAATATGAATTTAGGGAGGAGGGACACAAACTTAAGGTCCACAACAATCTGTAAGATGGAAAACCAGGCGAAAGGGGCAATATATAGAGTAGATACTGAAATATAGAGTACACACAACCCCTCTGGTGACATGGCAGAAGTGTAACACAGCCCTTGTTGGAGAGGACAGGTGGGAAAGAGCTCTAGGATCAGCTGATGGAGTCATCCCTAGATGATTATAATTTGGGAGGCAGATCTCGGCATTTACCCTTACGTCTTCTTTTTTAAATCTATTAGATCAGAAACATGGCAAAGCGAGAGATGTCCACAGATCTTTCCCCTTGAAATAACAATAAGCTGAACATCTAAAACTCAATAAAAATCACCCAACCTGCACACAAGCATGTCTGAGCAAAGGATCTGCACAGAAGAATTACCACAATCAGAACCCCGGGAGTCAGGTGTTAGCCTGGGAGAAACAAAAACATGTGTCTCGCAGCCCAAGCTCCCTGCAGGAGGAGGGGGAGGGGAAAAAGTATGATGGTTTCCCTGAACAGCCCTGCCTGAAAGAGCTGTGAACTCCATGCCTTGGCTGTGCCCAAGGATCAGGGCAGAACACAGATAAGTGCAGAAGGAAGAGAAGTACTGATGGCAGAGAAGCAACAGTTGATGATTATCAGCCACGGTTGTAAAACACGAGGCTGAGCTGCAGTCCCCATCGCCAAACTCAAACAGAACCTCCCCCAAATCCTCCAAGACCAAACTACACAGACCCAGGGACCCAGGAGAATCTGATCAAACGCTACCAAAACTGTCACTAACACTGCTGGGGGCTGAGATTGAGGGTAGCAAGTGTGATTAAATATTTATAGAGAAAAGGCATTATTAAGACTTTATATAAAGCAGGGATCTGAGAGGCTTAGACACCACCCACTGGAAACCAAAAGAAAGATGTCTTCTTTGCAACAGACTAAAGAGAGACCTTTATATAA